GGATTAAGACCTACAGAATATGGCATTTAAAATGTTTAAAAAATTTAGAATTAGTCTTAGACTTGCTGGACAGTGAGACATGTCTGCTCCTGGTGACACCAATTTACTTCAGAGAGGAGGATAGGCATTGAAGACAATCTATATGGAGTTTATCTTTTTCTTGGCAAAAATAGCCATTTGGGCAAGAAACTGTTCTTGCCTGGACTGCTTGATTGACTGGACATGCAGGACCCAGAGGAAGGTGACCACTGAATTTTGCTTAGCAAAATGGTCCTTCAGGTTCCTGCTTCGCAGAGGAAATTGCCAGATATTCTACAGCACACAGAGAGAAATGACTGAGAGACTCTGGGCCTGTGGGCTGAAGACAGATGCCTCAACTTTACAAAGGAACATTAGGTGACTGTCCAGGCTGCCAGCTGTCTCTGTCTACTGTTGCAAGACTGCTGAAAGTTGCTTGTATCCTTCTACCATTTCTCAGGTAATATTATATTCTTCTGAGTTCTTTGATGTACTTGAAGACTAGATAGGTATAATTTTCCTTAGTTATTATTAAAGATAAGTTAGATATTAAACCTTAGACTCACAAATATAGGGTAGATAGGATATCTTCTTTAATTTTGCCAAATACAAATAGACTAGATATTATAAATAGACTAGATATTGTAACTGTAATTCTTGCTTGATAATTGTTTTGTTATATGTAATTTTACTATGTGAACGTTAAAACCTTCCTTTTTGAAAAAAAAGAAAAGGGTAAGTGCTGTGGGATGTTCTGTAAGTTAAATGTGTTGCTCTGATTGGTTAATAAATAAAATGCTGATTGACCAGTAGCCAGGCAGGAAGTATAGGCAGGACAAGCAGAGAAGAGAATTCTGGGAACAGGAAGGCTGAGTCAGGAGTTGCTGCCAGCTGCCACCATGAGAAGATGTTAAGATACTGGTAAGCCACAAGCCATGTGGCAACTTATAGATTAATAGAAATGGGTTAATTTAAGAATTAGATAACAAAAAGCCTGCCATGGCCATACAGTTTATAAGAAATATAAGTCTCTGTGTGTTTACTTGGTTAGGTCTGAGCAGCTGCAGGACTGGCAGGTGAGAGAGATTTGTCCTGACAGTGGGCCAGGCAGGACTGGAGGACATCTAGATCTCATTAAAAATACCTCATTAAAATTAACAATAATAACAACAAAAACCAAACCAACCAACCAACCAACCAACCAACCAACCAACCAACCAAACAAACAAACAAATCAAAGGATTAGAATTTATCTCACTATAAAGTGTTTGCTTTAAAAGGACAATGGCATGCATTTGGTCCCTAAAACCTAGTAAATAAGTAAATGAATAAAGTAAGAATATGAATAAATAAATAAATAAATACAAAAAGCAAGACACCCAGGAATAACCCTAGCAGTGGGAGATGAGTAAAATGAGGTCTTTAAGGCACTGAAAAACAGAAAATTGAAGAGGCCACTAGAGGGCTGAAATGCCTTCAATGCCCATGGATAGGGAGAGTGTTGTGAAAAGTGCTATATTACAGAGAGTAACCTACAGATTCAATACAATCTCCAGTGACATTCTTCACAGAATTATAGAGAACTCCTCAAATGAATAGGCAAAACCCTTCAAATAGACAAAGAAATCCTACACAGAAAGCAATGCTTGGGCTATCCTAAATCCTGACCTCAAATTATACTGCAGCCATGGTGAAGACAAGGTACGTGCTGGCACAAACAGACCTGCTGACCAATGGAGAAGAGCAAGGCACTTAGACGTAAATCAATACAACCATGGCCACCTGGTTTTTGTCAAAGGTATCCAAAGTACACTGAAAAAAGATCCTTCTCAACACATGCTGCTGTGAAAATTGATATTTATGTAGAAATTAGATCCATCCAGATCTCATCCTGTACAAAATACCATAATGAATACACTTAGCCCAAGACCCCAAACTCGAAAATTTCTAGAGGAAAAGAGGGAAAATATTTTATGATATATAACTCAAGTAAAACAGAAAATAGCCTCAAAAAAACCAATAAATAGAACTATATGGAATTAAAATCTTCTGTACAGAAAAGTAAACAACCCCCAAAATAAAAGATAGAATGGGAGAAAAATCTCTCTCAATTACACATTAGACATATATATCCACTGTCTAATGTATAATATAGATGGATGATATAGTCATATATATATATATATATATATATATATATATATATATATAGTCACCATGTGTTTATTGTATACACACACACACATATGTATCAGTAAAAATTGAACACTAAGTGAACACTAACATCCTCCAGTTCTCAAAAGAAGAAACACAAATGACCAATAGATATTTGAAAAAGTGTTCAGTATCATCAGCCATGGGGGAAATGCAGATAAAAACTACTTTGATATTCTATATTACCCCATCAGAATTTTTTGTCACCAAGAAAACAGACAGCAAATGTTAGCAAGAATGATGGAAAACAGTACTTCTCTTTCTCTCCTGATGGGAATGTACACTGGTGCCACCAGTGTAGAAATTGGTAGGAAGGTTCCTCAAATTGCTAAAAATAGAACTAACACAAGACTTTGTTATGCTTTTTCTGGGTGTATGCACATCCTATCACTGAGACACTAGCACTTCCACGTTCATTTCCTGGTAAAAACTGAAGTGTCTCCTCCTCTTCCTTTCTCATTTTCCTTTTTCCTTGAGCTTTTATTCATTTGTTCTGAAATTTGTTCCTTGCTCACTTCAGAAGACAAGGTGAGCCTAATAGAATTTGATAATATTAGGGTGGTGAGCAGCCCCAGGGCCTTGGAGTGCAGGACAAGGGTGGACTTGGAGAAAAGAAGGACAGGTGACCAACCAGAATCAGGTGAAGAGTACAGGACCAGAGAACACATCCACAAGTTCTCTGTCACTCCTGGTGCATGGCCATTGGCTTGGATGCAAGACAAGATGCTATGTCCTTTCTTCAGGGCTGATATCTAGTGTGTGACTGTGGATTACCCAACAATATCCTTACCACTGACAACCACCTCTTGGAACCTCATTTCAAAATAGCTCTCTTCCTCCAGGGAAGCCACATGATATTTCTTCGATCATACTTCCTTGCATCAAATGTTTACCTTGATCATTTTATGTTTTCGTAGAGGTTAGAATAAAATGTTCTGAATAGGAATTGGTTTTAAAAATTTAAACCATTTGCACTAAATTCTAAAGTCATGAGAATCAACTGGGTAAAAGAGGAGCCAACTAGAGGTATAGTTTAAAAGTTTAATTACCTAGAGAAAAATAATTCATGCATTTGCAGACTATGATAGTGATAGAATAATGTGGCCATTATTCTCAGCCACAAACAGGAAAATTCTGATTCAGATAAAAGCTTCAATTTTTACTTCTATAAGTGTGTGGCTTTGTATAACTTTTATGAAATATCTGTGTACTTAATATTAACCTTTACTGTAGTACCTCCTCTTAGAAACAATATTAAAAATCTTTTATATCATAATTATCCCTTGTTATATAAACTTATTGGAAAAATATTTTGGTCATCAAGTATGGCACCAGGGTTAATTCAATCCTTAACTGCAAAGATTTGACAATAATTATGAGCAAATATCCAATTTATGTATTGAACAACAACATAATTTTTCACATAGTACAGCAGGACGATGTAGATGTGATTATGGACTTCTCAGTAATATTTTACTTAAAAACTACATAATTCAATCTTCACACTGGGAGACATATAATCACATTGTTTTGATAAGAAAGATCTTCATGAAAACAGTACAATCAGGCATAAAGGACCTTAAATGTATACTTGTTGAACAACTGACATGCTGATACACACATAGATACAATAATAGAAACACATTTCATGAAAAACCTAGGTTTTCTAACTCCAAAGCCCACAAAGAAAATTTAAAAGAATAGAAATACGTGGCAAGTTGGGGAGTCTTTTGTTCCCCTTTTCAGTAGCATAAAACTGTAGAAAAACGTTCCCTTTGAACTTGGAGAACTGACAGTTCTTTTCATGTTCCTGTTCTTTGTTTTCTGCTATGCATAAAGTAATAGAATGGATTGTAAATTAATACTTTCCTACTTATATAATGACCCCCCATCCTATTATTTTGTTTCAAGCAATGTGAAAACTACTTGAAAATAATCCAATGGAATTTATGCTTTTACTTGTGACATGAAATAGAAGAGTTATCCACTGAAAATTGAGTAACATTGAAATGCTTCTAATTGTAAGGACTACCCATGTTTTTGAAATGGAGTTGATTCTTGTTTGATTCACAGCTAATGCAAACCTGATATTGTTACATTGTATCAAAGTGCTAATAGCCCTCATTTCGGTTATGATTAGTAACATCTCTAGACACATTCATATTGTCACTTATAAACATAATTACTATTCTTCCTGAATCAATGTGCACTGGAGTGAAACGGAGTATTACTGTGCCTAACACTTTTGCACTAAACTTACCAATAGTTTATAACTATTTAATAGTTCCACATTGTGGAAAATTTAGAAGTCACATTTCTTTTCCTCACAAACTTGGAATAATATTTAGCCCCAAATGAATGAACTAAAAATATCAAGATTTTTATGATATTATAAAATTCATAAATCATTAAACTCAAATATATTTGGTAAAATTATTACACCATTCTTATTAGTGACAAAACTAATGACATTAACATCTCACATTGAAGGTGTGAAATACAATAGAAATAAAGGCAGATAAATTGTTCAATGTTCAGCATAACTCAGCTCCAAAATAAACTTTTCCCATAGTCTTCTCATTTGTGTCCTTAGCACACAATGAGGTAAGTAGTTAAGCACCCCAATAACATTGCTATGTTTTGGGGCCTCCTGCTTTTTTTAAACCATTTTTTTCCTATGAAGGTCACCATATTAATCCAAATCATTCAGGATTCATGGGCCCTAATGTTGAGAAATATATACATGCTTCATGATTCCATTCCCAGAGTTTCATTTATGTATCAGTTTTATTCATCAGTTTTCTTCCAGGCAATAGTTATTCTTGAAAATGAACTGCTTCCATAAAACAGAAACTTTAGTAAATTAAATTGATAACTGGGACGTTTTAAAATCTCAAGTCATCCAGGTCACTTATAAAGCGCGCAAGTGCCTTAAGGTCCATCTTCTTTAACCAACACTAAGAACACAGTGGCAACTGTTCTGTAAAGCATTCTCTCTTTGAGATGACATGGGTGAGGTTCCACATGGACACTCAGCCTCTTCTCTCAGACCTCCAGCCAGGCCGACAGTAGTGAAGATGCTACTCCCTGTTGTCGATACCTGTGCGGTAAAAGACTTTATTTCACATGGGCTAATAAGTTGATGCCAGGAGACATCATTTAGAGCAGCTCTCTCAAAGCTGAGGTGCTTTATAATCCCCTGTAGGATTTGTAAGCACATACACTCCTGGATACCAAACCCAAGGCATTCAGGTTCAGTAAGTTTGGGATACATGTTTAATCTTAGATTCTGGGAATTGTAGGTGTTGATGGTCCAGGGACCACACCACATTTAAGATCACTAATTTAGAATAAAGGAATTATAACTTTTGATTGACCATACCCATACCACTTCTTCCCCCTTCTCTCTCTCTCTCTCTCTCTCTCTCTCTCTCTCTCTCTCTCTCTCTCTCTCCCCAGGCCCTGTCTCTTTTCCCACCCTTCTCCACCTTTTCCCCTCTCAAGACCTCTCCTCTTGTTTATATAACAAGAACTGGCATCTTAGAATCTAATACTGTCTTGTAACTTAGAGTTAATGCAACTCAACCGTAATGAGATAAAATCATTATCTCATCTTTATTGAGCTGCAAGGCTATTAAGGCTTATTACCAAGAAGATTTGTAGTTATCTTCAAATCTTAAAGTGCTAACGGTCATCACAATCAGAAAATTACAGCTCTCCTTTCATGTAATATATTTATGGTAGACAAAGCCCTCAAAGGGGAGAAAGGAGACATTGAAAGTGATCATGTTCATAGATAGAGAACATCACGATATTCAGCCATATAATTTTGATAAACCTCATATAAGAGGGTAGTCTTGGCTTAGAGTACTAAAAGGCACATGGTAACAAAATCCTAAACTTTTGAAAAGAAAGTATGGATAATTTGGTTGCATTATTTTTTTCTGAGAATGAGGAGATGGGCAAAAGGCAAAAGGACAATATGATTATTTTCAAATAAAATCTCTCTTGAATATATTAAATATATCTGATTTTAATATAATCAGAGTGCCTACTGCTCACTATGAGATGAAGAACAACTTTATAAGTATGCCTTTAAACTTTTAATTTCATTTAGAAGTGAATACTTGCATTAGAAGAATTTTGCAGAGAACAAATTTGATATAATTATTCAATCCCATGATTTACATCTACACAAAATACGTTCTACACTTTCCATTTGTGAATGAGTCAGTAGCAAGCCTTCCACTTTCCTAACTTCTCATCTCTTAGCCTCAGGCATGCTAACATGACTAACACAGAGTATAGCATAACTGCGTGGGTATGGGGTGGGGGTTGTAACAGTACTGCCAGTGTTGTGGTGGGGACCGCTGTCTTTGGTTGTGTGACTACTCTGCCATGCCTGGGAATCCTCAGCCTTTCTCCCTCACTAGACTACAACAAGCTTTGTTTCATGTATTTGTTGTTGTTTGTTTTCAATGATGGGGACTAAATGCTAGCCTCGTGCAAGCTGCTAGGGAAGTGCTCAGCTATTAAATCCTATCCCAGACCTGGGCTATAGCACTTCTCAAACCCTGGCTGCAGCCACCTTCTCACTTCCTCTTACCTACCACACCGTCACATTCTTACTTCAGCAAGGATGACTAACTCATTGTTCCTAACTTGAAGAACACAATAATCTGATGTTTTAGCTCTTAATTTAAATGTTAAATCCCCCCCCAGAGATGAAAATGATTATGTATTAGTAGTTGCTGCAAAATTTTTACTTTAATACAGTCATTTTGATTCTGTATTGCACACACACAAAAATCTTAGCTACTGTAAGGTTATATATAAACCTGAGAACATTTAGTAAATGAAACATAAAATTAGTGGCAAATTAAGCTTAATAGTATATATTTCATGTGATTTGGAAAGGTAGATTTTGAATATATACAAATTGTATGCTGTTCTATTCATAAATGGTCTCCCAGTTAGCACATTGTAATGATAGTTTTTGTGAATTAAAAAAAAAATTAAGTTGATTAACATATGTCTGTTGCTAACTGAGAGTAATTGTTACTTTTTTTTTTTAATCAGGGAAGGAAATGATTAATTTTCGGTAATTTTTAGCAACCATTTTGAGTTGTGAAATTAAAATAACAAAGGGGTTATAAAAAGAATTAGAAATTTTCAAACCCTTAATTGCCACAAACTTCAGTTCACAGAACTAAGAAGAAATAGCCTAAAATAAATTCAGCTGCAGTTTAAACATATAACATGTTCGAATAAATGGTCCAGGAAATATTTAAAATTTACTTATTTTCAAAGAGTGATCGATTTAAAAAAAAATGGATTGACATTTTTGGGTTTAGATCAGCTGGATACTAAAACTTCCGTTCACAGAGTTTGTATAAAAGGATTTTTTGAGTCGGGTTTCCTCGTCATAGCAATAAATATTCTACCAGTTTTGAAGCGGTCCTGCCCCGTTGGCTGCTGGGAGTGTGCTTATGCTGGTAAGCACCACGTGCTCTGAGAGTTTTGATACATTATCAAAATTGCTGATCTGTGTGGTCAGGGACTTCCTGCTCTCTGTGCTTGTGCGTCCCCTGGCGAGACGATCTCCTTGGCGATGATGAACCCCGAGACAACAAGAAAAGGCAGCTTTAAATTCCTCGCGAAATTTTCCTGGCAGACCAGAGAGAATGGAAGGAAAGTGAATTATGCATAAACAGCTCAGCACCTAGTGCGCGGGGTATAAATGAGTCGTTCCCTTGAGCCAAACTAACAGTGAGGTGGAGCATTTTGCATCAATAAAGGAAATAGAGAAAGGAAATTAAACGATGAAGCACTTTCCTATGTAACAGTTGGCGTTTGCTTTCTTTCTTTAAAGTCAAAACCCCCTGCGTTTCTCGTTAGTTTTTAACCCTGTAATAATACTAAATGGCTCTTAGGAAAAGTTGCATAGACACCTAATTGCTTCAAAAGCCATGAAATCTACACTGTGTATTACTAAATAGAGATGTGTTATAGTATAAAGATGCTGGTGCTGTAAGAGTTCAACAAAATAGAAAAGTTGAAGTATTTATGAAAATTCCCCTTTCATAATCCATGTGTGGCAACATAGGGAAAGAAAAAAAACTGGGAAAATCTTAGGAAGTACTTATTTTAAGCTATTAGTAAGATTTTAGGCATTTAAGAAGATGAAATGGTCACCTTTATTAGAGTGAAGGGAGTTATTGGAAACTGTTTTTAATTCTCTCTGTGCCTAAGCTATCCCACTAGGCTGGTGAGGGACTAAGTGTGGTGACTGTTCACAGGCCTAGGATAATGGTAGGCACGAGCCAGGTGGTAGTCTGGGGCCCCCTCTGACTACCTTAACCTCATAGCAGAACTGTGCCTTCTGCTCTTGTCTCTCTACTTCCTAACGTGTCTCTCCTGCTCAGGGCAAGCTCAGAGCACTAGCCAGTGTGCAGCGATTCTTTCACAAGTGACAACCTTGCTTTTCAGAAATAAAATTGGTTTTCCTTTCTTTTACCAACTAAATGTTTTTAGTACATGAAGTCATATATATATATATATATATATATATATATATATATATTTCTGGATGTGATATTTCAGTAAATGTATGCAGTTATCAAAGCTGAAATGGAATTCAATAGATTCAAATGTGTGTTATGTATTCATGGCAAGAACACAAAATCCTTTTTCATTTTTAATGTTTTGAGATCTATAATAGATCCTTCTCTTTGTAATTCTCTCCCCATCAAGTCTATCTCTATCTGATGGTTCTAACTACTTAGACAAATCATGCAAACCAAAAAAGCCAATATGAATTTGGAAGACACACATTGTTTATTAAATGTACAGTAAATAGCTTTCTCGAATGTAAAAATGACTAGTTAGAAATGGAAATAAATAAATAGCCAAGTAATTGGGAACAAATTGAACAAAAATGTAGCTAATGGCAGCACAGTTCTTATAGGGCCACTTGTAGGTTTCCCAAGCTCCAGTGGGTGGCCTGTGCTCTCACACTTAGGGGCAGCTCTAAGTGGATATTGTGAGTTATTAAAACAAACAAGCAAGCATGAACTTGGTAGGGGTATGTTTGGGAGATGATGACGAGGATTTGGAGGGGAAAAGTGAGGGTAAATAAGACCATATCTCACTGTATATACATATATATATATAACATATAATAAATAATAATAAATGTAACATATATTAGTTATAGGTGTGTGTATGTGTATATCTTTTTAACTTAAGTGTTACTTGTGAGCAATACTCTTTTGATTAGTGAGAATTCTTCAAGTGACTCAAGTGTTACCCACAAAAATGAAAGTATAAAAATATCTGAAAGTGGGTTGGTTCCAATCCAGTTTGAATTAGGCTATGCACTTTGACAAAACAACAACAAAACCCCATGTCTATACAAAACAGATAAAGGCAGTTCATACTTTTCAATCATAAGTTTAATGCAAGGGATGCAAGACACTCAAAATTTTCACTTTCCCTTTATCGTTTATTCTAAGTTTTCCAAGAAAGCAGACTAGATCATGCCCTCTGAAGATCTAGGTGGCATGGATTCACTCTCAAAAAGAAGAAATTCAGAACAAATCTAGTCAGGGGCTATCATAGCTCAGACAGAGACTAAGTTCTGTGTCTACTTGAGAGCTGCTCCGGGGCATCTGTTCTACAGGTGCCATCCTTGAGGAGAGGCTTAAAGAAGAAACACTGAAAACTTACCACTAAGAAAATTATAAATGATGGGGTTCGCCGCACTATTGGCATATACAAGCCAATGAGAAAATGTGAACCAGGCGTAGACAGTTTCTCTGTCTTCAGTGTGTGTGAACATCCCAAATACTCTGTAGGAAGAGAAACAGAAAAAGAAAATCGAAGGTGACCTTTAAGTAATTGAGTACCAAGGTGAACACAGCAGTAACCCAGCCCCGAACTCTGTGAAAGGCACTGACAGCCCAGTCTCTTTAGAATGGTTTCCAGTCCCATCAGAACCTCCAGGGTACACATGGTGAATTAAAAGCTGGATCAGCTCAGAGGAAAAGGCTGGAATGAGGAAACACAAATCTCTTGTCAAGAAGCCAGAAGCTGAATTTCCCTTCTGTCGTCTTGTTTCTAGATGTGATTGACTAACCTTGTTGCTATTGTACCACGACGTACATTTTTAAAAATTTATTTTATGTGTATGGGTGATACTCTGCATGTGTCTGTGTATCACTTGTGTGCATGCCTGGTTTCCACAGAGGTAAACAGAGGGTGCTGGGTCTCTTTTAACCAGAGTTACAGATGCTAGTCAGCAGCCATATGGGTACTGGGAATTGAACCCTGGTCCCCCGAAAGACCAACCAATGCTCTCCCAGACCCATTGTATATATTTTAATTATCAGTCCAAAACTGGACTTCTAAATTCTTCCCACTTTCACTTGTGCACTGATGGATGTATATTTTCTCAACTCTAATGATTCCAGCCTTGTTGAATTTTGTCATGAGACATCTTTGTATACAGGCAATAACTGGTTTTCAGTGTGTAAGATTCTGATAGTCCTTAGGTTCATGAGCTTCCACCTTTCATATAGTATGTTAAACTAAAAAATATATTAGAGTACCCTCAAAGGCCGCTTTTGAGCAATTTTAACACTGTTTTTCTTTGGTGTGGGGAGATTAGACAAAGGGTAAAAGCATTTCCTGTGAAGATTTAATGACCTGAGTCCAGATCCCCAGAACACACATAAAAATCCTGATACAGTAGTGCATGTTTGTAGTCCTAGCAATCGTACTGTGAGACTGGAGGTGGAGACGGGAGAATCTCCTGGAAGCTCCTAGGCCAGCTAGGCTGGAGTGAACCTCACCACTGCAGCAACAAAGAGCTACCCTGCTTCCAAAAACATGGAAAGCAAGAATTGGCTCCCATACATTTTCCTCTTGTTTTCTAAGCTCCATACCTGTGCTATGACATGTGTGCAGCAACACACACACACACACACACACACACACACACACACACACCACTAAAAAGAAAAAAAAATCCATTGTATTCTATTCTTACAAATCTCCCTCTCTCTTTTTTTGTAGAATTTAATAATGATATCCACTAACCCATCCACATAACTTGCAGCTACTCAGTAAGACCCAGGATGAAGAGACAAGGTGTTCCGTCTTGGAGGCCCTATCAGTGATTTTTATCTTATGTTTGCGTTTTAAAGAGAAAGGTGCATGATAGGAATGAATTTCTGGGACAAAGTGATGCTCCATAGAGTAGTGGAAGTTTACGTGTGTGTGTGTGCGCGCGCGCACACACACACACACACACACACACACACACACACACACGAGTGAAAGAATGTGGACAAATTAAATACACATAAGATGCAATCACTATTTCAAAACCTCAGAAATACTAGACCACTTTGAGGAAGTTAGTTTTAACCAACCAGGTAAAAGAATTCATTACAAGAAAAAAAGAAGGAAGGACTTTACAGTGTGTGAAAAATAAATGAAAACAAGATTGATGAGCAAGGCAAGGCTAAATTTACACACACACACACACACACACACACACACACACACACACACACATGCAATAAAAACAAATTTCAAAATTATTTTAAAATGTTTGTTTGTGTGAAAACAGGAAGATGGCTCAAAACTTGAAAAAAAAGTTTTAAATTAAACTTAAAATTCTCCCCCCAGGAAAGGAGGGCATTTAATTCAGAATAATAAGATGAATATTATTGACAAGAGGGCATCTGGAAATGATTAGAGGGGGAGGTGCAAGAGCAGAGATAGAAGAAATTCAAATGTGCACCCCACAGAGTGCTAAATCCATTTTGAAAATATTTGATTTGGACTAGCAAATAGAGGAGAAGGAGAAGGGAAGAGGAGGAGAGGAGGAGAAAGGGAAAGAGAGGGGGGCAGGGGGAGAGGGGGCGAGGCAGAGGGGAAGAGGGAGGGGGAGAAGGGAGAGGGTAGGAGGGAGAGAAAGAAGGAATCTACTCAGTGTCATTCATGTTTATGATGTTCTTAATATCGAAAAGCAGAAATCAGTAAAGTGCTTAATATATTTGCATTTGATTTCTGTGAGGAATAGAATGAGAGGCCAGGCTTAGCAGAGGCAGGGGGTAAATTATGTCTTGTGAGCAGACACATATCTCAGGAACAGGAGCTTTCAAAACCTCATACATCCAAGGCTGTAACATTTCTGAACAAAAGTTCATTTTCCACTTCTTCACTGAAAAAACCTTTAAACAACCAAAAACCAAGGTCAAAGAGGAGAGCTCTCTGCAGCCGGTTATACCACCTGTTGTCTGACTTGAACCAAACCTACCTGTCCCCAAGGTCCCCAGCTGTGAGGAATATGATATTGACTCTGACTTGGGGAAGAGGGACAGGAGCAGCGATCCCAGATTAAGTTTGAAATCTGTTATAACCGGAATTAAGGTTGCCTTGGGACAAGGGTGTGTGCAACAGGTTTGCTGCTTCCCGGTGAAGCTGGCTGCTCATGTGCTGACTGCAGTCTACCTGCACCCCAGCATCTGGTGCTCAGGTCACCAGTCAAAAGTTCTTTGAACTTCATTGTGTTGTCTAAATTGTAACAAACTGTGCACTACTAACTGGAAAATGTGCTGCATGTTATAGTAATAGATTATGTTAATATGCTATAATAATAAGTAACATATAACACATGTCACACTATATTATATTAACATAGCGTATATATGTGTTATATTAATATTGATCCTGAAATCATTCCAATGACTTCAAAAAATGGACATTCTTCTTTCAGTTTAATGTTCAACACGAAATATCTGCTTCACTGATTCTTTGTTTAGTGCCCCAAATTATTCTTATCTCTTTTTTATCCTGAAAAATATTTTTTTAACAGAAAGAAATGTAGTGTGGTTGTTTATATACTTGAGAACAAAGTTGGAAAACCCATTTTATTCTCATGAAAAAGAACTCAGAACTGTAGTTGACTTTTGTTTATGAAATTAGTTATTGAAACACAATTTTTATTAGACTGTTTCCTCCAGCTAAGGCTTAGCAGTCAACCCCAAGAGGTTAGGAAAACAACCGTTTTATCTCCCATTCGGCTGTGAATCTTCACTGACTGACCAGAGTACTTCCTTAGCATGCTAGCAGGCTGAGGTTGCCTTAAGTGTTCTAACAACTGCATCCCTGAGTGGGCGAGCCAAAGTATCTAGGAGAGGGTTTTTGTCTGTTTAGAAAGAAAAGAGTTCTTAATTAAATGTCAAGCTGCTTCATTTTCAAGTAAATACACGGGCTTTACCTCTTTAGCACATTGAGGATGCTGATTGGTAGATAGCAAATTGCAAAGACCAGAAGTACAACCATGAGCATCCGGGCTGTTTTCCTTCGCGCTCGGATCTGCTTTATCTCAGCAGCCACAGCGCTAATCCGGGCCTTGCTCTGCTGTCCGGACCCTCGGGGCTGAGACACCGGCTGCTGAGGCTGCTTCCATTTTCTCTGAACCACAGAAGAAGTTCCTGGAATCTGAAAGGACAGGGGATCCCTCATTGATACTTAGCAACGTTCCACATAGAAGTCAAGATTAAGAAACAGAAGTTTAGAGTTTAGAATTCCCATCTCTCCAGAGCACCGGCTTGGCTGTATGTTTTTAGCATTCATCTAGTCAAACGCCAAATAGACGTTTGCGTGAGAAAAAAAGTTAAACAAGCTTTTGTTATGGTTGTTGTGTTAAAACGTTGTCGTGGTCTAAACAGAACAATAGAAAATACATACCATTATCAAAGAGACGTAAAATATGGAGAGAAGAATTCTAAGAAATCCCGACTATAAATTTTCATTACAAATTCTAGATTCAGATGACACCTAAGTTTAAACACTCATCGGGTAGTGGGACTGAGACACACCACACACACACACACACACACACACACACACACACACACACACACACACACATACACACACACACACACTGGGACACACACGCACACAGACAGACAGACAGACAGACACACACAGAGACACACACTGGGACACACACGCACACAGACACAGACAGACAGACACACACACACTGGGACACACACGCACACAGACACAGACACAGACACACACACACACACAGACACACACATACATATGCGCGCGCGCGCACACACACACACACGAAAAAACAAAACACTTGAATAATTTTTGGTGCATCGATACTGCCATCTGCTGTCACATGGAGACATAGCACCCAAACCGCTATTGCTTTTTATGAGGTTTTCTGCCTCTGATTCAGACAAAGCAAATCTATGCATAGAGAGAACAAAAACAAACTACTCGCTGTGATTTAGTGTTCACATTTACAAAATTGCCTGAAACTAATTTTGCAATTTGTCCTTCCAGAAAGCACACAAGTACAATGAGAATCCTTCCAGGTCTTACACTAATATTCCAAATAGCCACAATTTCTAGCAATTACATTACACAACATGCTTTTTTCCTTTGATTTTCAGTTAGTTGATAATAGCAGAAAGTTCTGCCAAGTATAATATTTTCTTAATTATAATCTCATGAAAATTGATAGACCTTAGCAAAACATTAAAACTCAGCATGTGCCTTTTTTTTTTTTTTTGATAAGATGTGCCAATAAGCACACCACTGGGACAGCTTGATTCTGTTCCAGTTGCTCAGTTGGTACTTTCATCTTTTCAAAGCTGCACACTGTACAGAGCAGCGTGTTCCCGTGGCCTCTCAGAATGAAGGTTACATGGAACCTGTGGCTGTTTACACTATACGATCAAAGTCTGTTTGAGAATCTTTCACTTGAGAATGGAGATTTTGCTTTGATGTCCAAACAGATGAGTCTCGTTACAGGAGACCCCACTTGACCATATTCTCAGTTAAGGAGATCAGTGATGCAAAGGAAAACCTGCCCTGCAACCAAAACATCCCACAAATGGGCGGGGCCACTTCACCAAAGCGCTGGGAGACAAGAGCTAAAGCGTCCCCCTCTTCTGTGATTGTCAGTTGAAAACTTTTTAAAAGGTTATTCAACTTTTATTTTACATATAGGAGTGTTCTGCCCCCTTGGATCTCTGTGCACCACATGTGTCCCTGGTGCCTGCATAGGTCAGAGAAAGGTATTGGATTCCCTGGAACTAGCATTGGATAGTTGTGAGCTGCCATGTGTGTGTGCTGGGAATTGAACCTAGGTCCTCTGTGAGAGTAGCCAGTGCTTTTAACTGCTGAGGATCTCCTTTGTCCTGTGGCTCTCTTTTCAAAATGTAGTTTCAGAAACAACTTCTGTAGAAGTAGCAATGAATCTTAAAAAGTTCTGGAAGATTCTATCACAAAAGCTGGCAAGTGTCTGTCAAGTGGTCTCGAAGTGGTTTCTAAATAAAGCCATACAGATCATTCTATTTTTGAGTGTTCCCGTGAAGGAGAGAACCAATATTCTGCCTGATGACTTCTTCAAGTATCAAAAACATTCCCATGAAGAAAAAGTGCCCTGGGGGCAGAGTTGTGGCCCTTGCAATGAAAAGAGAGAGAAATGTGGCAATGCCACTTTCAGATAAGGACCTGAAGGCAGAAGATGCTTAATCCTTCAACTCACCCTCCACTCATAGAGAGAGAGAGAGGGCAGAGAACCTGAGCAGCCCCAAGGAGAGAGCAGAAAATTCATTAGGAGTCTTTACATCAACTGACACTCAAGACTTGCACATGACCTTAAGTCATGCTCAATGTGTCCTTAAAGGTAAATTATAAATCTCATTTTATAGCTTTTGACTGAGAAGATGCTAAGTTGGATATTTCAGATCATATCTTTAATTTGTCCGAAACTTCAAACTACATCCTTTTTTAATTGTAAAAAGTTTCCTTTGGAAAATGTACATACAGGAGAGTAAGCAGGTTTTGTGTGTATGTTTATATGCATGTGTGTGCTCATGTGTGTTCAGATGCATGTGTGGGCCTTACTTTGTCTGTGTGCATGTGTGTGCACATGCACTAGAGGTCAGAAGATGACCTAGGCTGGAATTCCTTAGTTGATGTCTGTTTCATTCTTTAGACAGGGTCTCTCATTGGCCTGGAATTTGTCAAGCAGGCCAGGTTGTCTGGCTAGTTAGCCTGGGGGATCTTCTTAGCTTCTCCTCTCCAGCTCTGGGATTACAAGTATGTGCTATGATATCCAGAGATTTTGCATGACTTTGGGAGTATTAAAGTCTTGTTCTCATACTTGCAAGGCAAGACATTTGCAGACTGAACTGTCACCCCAGGCTCCTGAATTTTGAGTGCATGTCTTATTACATTAAAGTAGTAATAATGATATAAAAGGACCAGAGAAGACAATTTCCAGGAGTTTGTCCCTATAGAAGGTCTTTCACCAATATGTCACTGAGGGCTCCATAATAGCTAATTGTAGAAAGCAGGCCACATATGACTTGTTCATCACATTGTAAATGAACTATGTAAACGATCTTTGATATGGGAACATACTATAAAAGAAATGTGAACAATAATTATTAGCTCAAAACACCATGTAAATGATGGACACTGAAAAAAAGAAATTAAATAAGCTGCCAGATAGAGGAGAGGTCATTCATGTTTCTGGATTGGCAGAGTTAATTTTATGAAAATGGCCATATAGGTAAAAGTAACCTGAATATTCACCAGGTGAATCCCCATCAAAATCCCAATGACATTCTTCAGAAAAATAGAAAATAATCCAAAAAAAAATCACAATCACATGTAAACACAAATGACCATGGGTAGACAAAACAACCCTAAACAGAAAGAACACTGCTGGAGATATCATAGGAGCTGGCCTCAGATTATACTTTCAAAACACAGTGAAAAAGACAGCATGGTATTGGTACATAAATGGACATGTGCAGCAATAAATAGGATAAAGAACCCAGCGATAAATGCACACACCAGTGGGTACCTAAATTTGAAAAAGGCATCAAGAGCATTCATTGGAAAAGGACAGACTGTTGAAGAAATGGTGAAGACACAGCTGAATAGATAACATTCAGAAGAATGAACTAAGATCCGCATCGTCGGCCTTCTACAAAAGCCATTTCCAATGGCTGAGAACATTAATTTCAGACATCATTTTTATTTTTAACTACGTGAGTGTGTCTGTGTGTGGATAGCTGCGTGTGAGTGCACACACCCTCAGAAGCCAAAGGCGTTGGATGTCTCTGGAGCTGGAGCTACAGACAGCTGTGAGTTGCCTAACATAGGTGCTGGGAACTGAACTCGGGTCCCCTGCAGGAGTACGGCATGCTTTTGACAGCTGAGCCATTTCTTCTGCTCCATGACTTAATTTAAACCTGAGACTTCTAGAGCAAAACATAGGGAGTACACTTGCTTTGGATATCGTCAATGATATAGATAAGAACTTCCTGAAGAGAACTCTAATGACGCAGGGCATAGTCCCAAGCAAGAATCAAGAAATAGACTTTAGGAAATTTACAAGTTTCTACACAGCAAGGAAAATTATCAGCAGAACAAATAGATATCCAACAGATTAGGAAGAAAGTCTTTGACAGCTATACCTCACCCAGGGAGCTTGATATATGGAATAAATAAAGCACTATAGAACTTAAATACCCAAACCACAGAACTGCCAGTCAATAAATGGGCTAATGAAATGAGCAGCTAGTTCTCAAAAGAAGAAACACAAATGGCCCATAAATGTTTTCAACACTGTTTAACATCCTCAGCTATCAGGAAAATGTAAATTAAAACCACTTTGAGACTCTCTCTCACCCCCATCAGAATGACTACTGCCTTAGGCTTTCTTTGCTGGGATGAAATGCCATGACCAAAACCAACTTGGGGAGGAAAGTCCTGGTGGGGTTCACAGTCCATCAAGAAGAGAAGTTAGGGCAAAAATTCAAGGCAGGAGCATGAGGCAAGAACTGAATAAGGGGCCCTGGAATGTGAGGCAAGAACTGAATTAGGGGCCCTGGGAGAGTGCTGCTTGGTTTGTTCCACATGACTTGCTCAGCCTCCTTTCTCCACCACTTCCTGTCCCCCCACCCCCACCCCACCCGCCACTTCTTTTTATTTATTCTTTGTATCTTTCACATCATGCATCTCCATGCCATTTATTTCCCTGTCCCTTTGTATCCACCTTCTGCCTTTGGAACCTCCCCACCTCAAATAAAATAAAATAAAGTAAAATTTAAGAGAAATGAAAAAAGAGATAAGGAAAAAAAAATCTCATCACAGAAGCTGTAGTGTGACACAGTGAGTCACTCAGTAAACCCTTTTATCCATATGTCTTTATTTGCACATGTTTGCTGGGGATGCTGTGAATATGTTGCTCTGATTGATTGATAAATAAAATGCTGATTGACCAGTAGCCAGGCAGGAAGTATAGTTTAGGCAGGATAAGGAGAGAGGAGAATTCTGGGAAGTGGAAGGCGGAGTCAGGTGATGCTGCCACCGCCATGAGAAACAAGATGTGAGGTACCAGTAAGCCACAAGCCACGTGGCAAGATTATAGATGAATAGAAATGGGTTAATTT